GCACTGTCACCTATTTATTCAAATGCCACTGAGGACACTGCCTTGGGAGATGTGTATGTGTGTAGAGGTACAGCTCCTGGGATTTTAGGTTGCCCTGAAACTTACTAAAGTCAAAAGGCAAAGCATGCTGCAAATTGGTGAAAATCCCCTTAACACTGCAGACCATTCTTACATACTGTTTAGTTAGTCTTATTTTGGTTCTGTCAGGTGATTTGGAGTTGTAAAGAAGACTTTTTGGGGAGAGATAGGGTAGGATAGATGTGTGGCACAATCATGGTTGAATGAAATTGAAGGCTCTGTCACTACAGAAATTGGTTTTCATTTGTGTAGTAATGAATTCTCTACAGATCCATCACAACTTTTCATATCAGATAAGAAAACCAGCTTTGGCATAAGGGCATTCCACTTAATTTTATATTTAAATATTATAATTCTCAATATAATTCATTCAAGTACCACAAACACTGATGGTATGTATATCTTTAGAAAAAACAGATTCAATAAAAAAGTACAAGACACAAATCCACTCTATGAATTTCTACCTGTAGCATTCTAGCAATAACTGTTTTATACACATTCCATTTTTTAATAATTATTTATTTTATTTATTCATTCATTTATTTTTTAATTTGACCAGAGAGAGAGGAAGTGAGAAAGCAAGCCACCAGATTCAGGACTCAAACCCTGGTCAGCCATGTGGGAGTGTCCAGCACCTTAACCAACACGCCACCTACTGGTCCCGTCACATTCCATTTTTTTAAAGTAAAGCTCTGAAAGGCCACCTACTAGCACCTTCTCTAGACCATCATGCAGCATATAGCTGAAAATCCTAGGCCAAATATCAGCATATAAATAAATAGTAATATCTCAAGTATGCATAAAGTCTGAAGTACGCAGACTTTATTTTGCCAAAAATGTATATTGTTATAGTGTATGGGAAAATTATTTCCTTCTGACCTAAATGCTCCTTGTTTCTTGAAACTCCCAAGTCTTGATGGCTCTCAATATCACAGTTGTGCTACAAAGGATGCTATCATGGCAATTTATTTTAGTAATTCCCTGCCACATCTCTGTGTCTTTCCATTGAAATGTTAGTTCTGCTTCCTTTTCCTTCAGAATGATCTATTGTACTATGTGTGTGATATGCATACATACATATACACAGACATTGTTCTCACTTATACCTATAACCCCTAAAAATCAAAGCAGACCAAAGCTCACATCTGTTAGAAAGTGATTGAAAGAGCACTGGAAATACAGTAGAAATAGCATTTCTCTGTACTAATATATGGATCTCACTGAATGGGGGTTTGCAGTTCCTAATCTAGTTATACACCAACAACGTAGATATTTAGAGCAATTAGCTTGATAAAATAAGCCAAAGAAACTACCTAAAATATTCATAGTTTTGAGGCAAAGCTGCAGAGCGGCTGGGGGTAAGGGGAACTGTGGAGTAGGTACAAAGAGATTAAATGACCCAAACAAATATCAGTTTACATTGACTGTATCTATGCAAGAGATCTATTAGTGCTGTTTGAAAACTTAATTACCTAAATAATAAGCTCAGGTTTTCTTGCATACTTTAAACAGAAAGGAATTTCTGTCACGCTACAAATACTTTTTACCTGATGATTTAACAGAGATCTGGGCTACTAAAAATTAAAACACCACTTGAGTCTCATCCACAGTGCAACACAAATGCCAAATGATTATTTACATTTTCTGGCTAAAATATTGCCCAGTATATTTCTCTAAAATTCCCAACTCCTGTTTTAGTTCAGCCAGTGGCATGGTGGTTAAGGCAGCTGGATCTCAATTGGCTGACTTTGCAGTTTGAGTCTCAGACCAGAAGCTCAAGAAACATGCCAGGTGAGCATAAGTGTATGTCCAAATTCTTGAAAGGAGAGAGAAATGGAGAAGGAATTGTAGCATGACTATCTCCCATAGGGGTTTGCTTTCTCACTTTCCTTTCTCTCTCTCTCCCTCTCTCTCTCCTCTCTCTCTCTTCTGTAAGCACATGTACTTTTTGGCAAACTAAAAGCAAATAATTAATAAATAGAATTCCCACTGAAATTTTTAGAGCAGGTTTGCACTGTTGTAAGAACTACACAGTTCTTTTTGACAAAGGTATTTATTAAGCCATTCAAATATTGGAGGCCTTAATTTTTTTTAACAAATTGCATGCAAGTGTTTAGATACTTTAGACTCAGTTGAAATAGACTAGATTAGGCCAGTGGAATAAAAAATGAATATGAAAGAGAGAACTGGGAAGTTATCAGCATTCCTATGTAAATAGAAATATAACTGGGAGAATTTATAGCCCTTAAAAAAAGGGTATTTTTCAAAAACAGTAATCTTGAATTTAGAATCTTTCCTCTGTCTTTGTGCTTCATTGAACATAGAGCTAGAAGTGGAGGACATATTTTAACAATGGTCACTTTCTACTATAATTCAGATATTTTCTTTGTAATATTTTTACCCCTATTAATTATTAAGGGAGACTTTAATTATAGGTTCAAACAAATGAATTCAAGGTGTCTAGAAGTGATAAGAAAGTTAACTGTAATAGAGGTGAATCATGGTATAGAAATTTTAGGCAGTAAATGATTATTGTTTAGAGTTATGTTCAGCTCTACAGTACATTTTAAACTTTACATTTAAGTATGTCAGTCTGAAATTTTAGGAGTTCACAGCAGTTTAGGCAAATGAACAAGAGTATCTATAGTAGTAGTTTCATTTTCATAGCACCTATATATGGCACATATATGTTGAATAATAAATGTCTTGTTTCTGGGGCCAGCAGGTGGTGTGGTTAAGGTGCTTGGCACCCACATAGCCGACGATGGCTCAAGTCCCAGATGTGGCAGCTTGAAAATCATGCTGGTCATGTGTGCATGCATGCCCAAAATCCCAAGAGGAGGGTGGAGATGGGATAACCACATGATCACCTCCCCTGGGGGTTGATTTCTCACTCTCCCTCTCACCGTCTCTCTCTGTCTCTCTGGCAAGTGCATGTGTCTTATGGCAAAAAAAAAAAATCTTGTTACTATGATCTAGAAGATTTGAGTTAATTGACTAATTCTGTGATTTCGAACAAGTCATTTTCCTTCTCTGCACCCCCCCCCCTTTTTTCTATTTGTAAAATACAGCATTGGGGTAGAGTAAATCCTCTAAAGTTCTCTTTTAGCTCTAACTTTATAAATTTACTGTCTAGTTGACTTGTACCTTCTCTGAGGTCAGAGGACATATTAAACATTTTGATTAGAAAAATCTTTTTTGATAGTAGCTGACCAAAAGGGTATAGAGGTGAACACAAATATCTTTCCCATTCTATTTTCTAATGAGTTAGAAATGTTAGTGTCACCAACATGGAAGTTAGGGCAACAGTTGTTTAGCTTTACCACTCCATTCTAAAAGAGACCTTAACATAGCTAGTGATGTCTTAAGCCCGGGTCATAAAGAACGTAACTCTGAGAAGATATGAGAAGGTATGTACTCTCATGAAATAAGACATTGATTTCCTTCAGTAGTAGAGATTGACTACTGTGATATATACATATTCTCTCTCTCTCTTTTTTTTGGAGAGGTTTTTGCTATAGGATACGTGCGCTCACCAGAAAGACGAGAGAGACAGAAAGCGAGAAATCACCACCCCCGCCCCCAGGGGTAATGGTCACACCGCAATCCATTCTCCTCCATTCTCCTCTCGGGATCTTGGGCATACACGCACATGCACCCAGTGTGAGTTTAAGCCACTGGGTCTGGGACTCGAACAATGGTCAACTACATGGTAGTCCAGCGACATAGCCATTATGCCAACTGCTGGTCCCCATATTCTCTCTTTAGAACATCAGTGAAAGATGATTTTGGAGAATGGTTCCATGTCTAGCTGCCCTGTTTTCTGACAAACCGATGAAATAACTGCTACAACAGTTATATCTAGATTATTAGAAGTACATTTATTTGTGAGAAAGACATATGTTTTTCTTTTGATGAAATAGGGTATATATGGGGTTTTTGTGCCATCAATATGAGTTAGCAATCAATGTAGCCTAGATTCTATTAGTCATAGTGAATTTTACAATTGAGAAAGTTGAATATATAACTTTAGAAACTAGATTAGGCCAGTGGAATAAAAAATGATAGAAACTATACTTCTGTAAGATAACTTGTTATTGATGTCACAGCCATTTATGATAGTCTCACTAAGTGAAGCAGAAGAAAAGCTGGATTTGACTAAATGACCACCTCAGGTATGGTAAGTAATTATTTGGGGAGAAATTATTGTCAAATGGGTCTTTATATAGTTTATTCTCTTGATAATTTTCCCCTGGATCTGAGCTTTATTCTTCAACACCTCCTCTTGTTCTTCTCCCTGCCTCCACCCACAATTTTGGCTCTTCTCCATGTGAAACACCAATGCAAGGGATGGAGATGGGAATCAATTCAAATAACAGAAACTATACTGTCAAAAGCTAGTTTGGAGGTGTAGTTGCATTGTCTGAAAATTCTTCATTTCATTTACTCTAATCACATACAAGACTTTAAATAGATTCCTCCTGGTGTTGATATTGAAAACAATAGGTTGACACCTTTTTCTTTACTTGGCTACACACTATAAATTTGAACTCTTAGGCCTGTAGCTAGAGCTGTTTCAGGTCATATGTTCAGAGTCTAAATTGGGAAAACCTTTGTGCTGATGTTGGTAAAAATCACTCTTGCCCAGCAGATTATCACTCAGTTATGAGGTGTAAAACGATGACCATTTATGCATTATTAGCTTCAGTTTTAAGACTTATTTATTTATTCATTCATTTATCTTCATTTGACCAGAGAGAGACACACATATGCATGTATGTGCGCACACACACACACACACACACACACACGTACACACAGAGAAAGTGGGAAAACAAGCCACCAAGTCCAGGACTTGAACCATGGTTTGCCATGTGGGAGTGTCCAGGGCCTTAACCAGCACACAACCTGCTAGTCCCTGGACTTCATTTTTAAACTTTAAACTTGAACCTTTGTATTCTGTAAAGAACTCTTAAACTGTGGAAAATAATTTGTATGTATAAATGCAGCTTTCTTTGAAGACAGTAGAATTGGGATCACATTCATAATTTCATGAATCCACTAGAGTTGTTATGTTACATATTTAACATAAGTTTACACATGCAATTCCACTGCCTCCAATGAATATTAAAACTGCAACCTGAATTAGGTTATCTAGACCTAAAATTGCTTTTTTTTCCTGAAAGCAATTAATTAAAATGAAGATGCTCTTATTTTCAGATTTTAACACCTCAGCAAGATGTAGTTTTTTTGATAAAAATATTTCAAATCCAGGCTTTTATCTTAGAAGAGCTTTGAAAGCAATGATGATTAAAACTATCAACAATAGATAGGACCCTATAAATATACCAGCTAATTATTTTTTGTTGTCAATGTATGAGATGTAGTGACTATTGGTTAGAGTGCAGTAGAAGATTTTTTAAAAACAGTACACATCCTAAATACTAATTTCAATGCTATCAAATTTTTAAAATGTAGTTAACTGAAAAACACAAACACAGGAAAGGAATTCATCTAACTTAGCAGATATAACATATGCTATGGGATAAATATCTCATTGGCACACATTAAACTAACACATCTCTAGGAAACACAAACAAAAAAACCTCAACAGCCCCCATAATAAGAAGTTGTAATGTTTAAAATCAAAAGAAAAAAGCCAGTTATACCTAGAAACCACAAGCTGACAATTCTTTAGAGTCTGTTCGGCCTCCCTGTGATACTGTTCATTGAACCAATGTGGGCAGCATGTAGCACTGAAGGGCAACAAAGATAGGCAGGTTAGTTTGCCTTTATCGCACAGCTGGTGGGGACTACTGACCACATCTCTCAACCCTGTGGGGAAATGGCATGAGATCCTGACGATGGTCAGGAATCTGTGTGGCAGCAACAGTAGCAAAGTGGCACCTGGAGCTTCAAGGAAGCAAGGGTAAGAAAAGCAAAGCAAAAGGGTTAAGCACCCGGCTGCACCTCTGCTGATTAGGGGCGATACCCCTTTAATTGGTTGTGAGATGGACTTAGTGTTTATAGGTATAAAAAGGCAAATAATAATAATAAAACAAAAAATGGAGAATGTGGCTATAAAAGATGGCGAAAATAATAGGACTTTCACTCTCCTATGGAGGTGATGAGGAAATCATATTCTATATATGTCACCTCTGAGAGAAAGGAAATTACAAATTTTCTGTTGAGTTCCAGAACAGGTGATAGTGGCTTGACTTAGAGCCGAGTTGTAACTTGTTCTTCCTGTCCATCACCCCATTTGTGCATGAGCAAGTCACAAGCCTCTCCCCAAGTTTCAAATACGTCCTCTGAGGAGTCTAAAAGTTTGGAATTTGAGGAGCAGATGCTGGATGCACAGTGAAGAGAGCTGGAACAGGCTAGAGGGCATTCACTGCTCTGAGCAGCGCCCCGGACTTCACCTAATTCTACCTCACTGAGGTTAATTTCACTTTGAGAACAGGCCTCTGCTTTCCCTTTCTCCATCTGAGAATATCTGATGTCCTGCCACATATAGTGCTGTTGAACAATTCCATCAGAAATTGTGTACATTGGCTCTGAACTGGGTTCAGACATATGACCATTAAACTTGGAGAACAGGAGACCCAGTTTCTTGAGAGAAGGACCCATGAAGGACCGTTTGCTTGATGACTCAGCTTTTGACTTCCCTTGGGTACCACTGGCTCGGGGCATGGTTCTGATGAGGGGTGTTCCATGGCAGGCCTTTTTCTTGCAGCCTAAATTGAAAGAGACACTCTTGGATTTGGCCCGAGCCCCACCACTGCCATCATTGGTATCATCCCTTTGAGAAAGTTCAGTGCTGCTAGTAGAAAAGCTTCTCCTTGGTTGTTTTCTATTTCCCAAGAGATCAAGCACTTCATATCGAAAGCTGGAGATGTCCTGCTTTAATTCCTAGAGAAAGAGAGGAGACACATTATGTCAAGAACCTTGGTCTTTGGTTTAAAGCAGGCACATTGGATATTCTTTGGAATGGTCCAGGTTTTGCCTTGTAGCAAATCACAAAGTTCACAAACTACCAGAGATATATACCATTTTTCAAGCAGAAGAAAGGTATGTTAATAATTATATGGGCACAGCTGCCAACTGGGAAAAATCATGCAATGGGCGAAGTTTATTTTCGAACCTCCCTACTAGGACCACATTGGCAAACTCATCATTACTAATGTCAACTAATGAAGTATTATATTAGGACACTGGTTTTCACAGGTATCTGCATATAAAAGAGCTACTGAAGGGAAAAAGCTCTTAGGACTGTAAGTTATGAAACAAAAGAAGAGATGTGAAAAGTCAGGTAATAAGACTGCTGTTTTAACAGGAAGCTCTGTTTATTCAAGTCCCTATGAGATATCTTCTATCTCTAACTGGCTCTTTAGATACTATTATAAATTGTCCCTTTAAAAGCCATTTTTTTTTTTTGGAGAGGTTTTTTCGCTATAGGGTGCGTGCGCTCGCCAGACAGACACAGAGAGACATAGAGACAGAAAACGAGAAATCACCCCCCAGGGGGGATGGTCACGCCACAATCCCTTCTCCTTCATTCTCCTCTCAGGATCTTGGGCACGCACGCACACGCCCCCGGCGTGAGTTTTAAGCCACCGGGTCCGGCACGTGAACCGCGGTCGACTACGTGGGAGTCCAGCGACATAGCCATTACGCTAACTGCTGGTCCCCAAAAAGCCATCTTTTGTTTTCTGTTTCGTTTTAGTTTCTGCTATTTGCTATAAAGGCATGTGCACTTGCCAAAGAAAGAGGGGGGGGCGTGAAAAATCACTCCCCAGGGGAGATGACCATGCCACAATCCCTTGTCCTCCCTTTGTCTCTTGGGATTTTTGGCATGCATGCACATGCTCCAGCCTTGATTTTCAAGCCCTCGGGTCCAGGACTCAAAATATGCAGTCAGCAATGTGAGATCCATCACCTTAACTTCCACATCAACTGCTGGTCCAAAAGCCACCTTTTAGAAGCTTAAATCTGAGAGCCAGCAGGTGGTGTAGTGCTTAAAGAACTGGACTCCCACACATTCAACTGCGGCTTGAGTCCCAGACCCAGAGGCTTGAAACTCACACCAGGCACATGTGCATGTGCACCCCAAATCGTGAGAGAAGGATGGAGGAGAAGGGATCATGGCATAGCCATCCCCCCTGGGGGGTGATTTCTTGCTTTCAGTCTCTGTCGCTCAGGTGAGTGCAAGGACCCTATAGCAAAATCTCTCTCTCAAAAAAAAAAAAAAAAAAAAGCTTAAATTCTAATCATGCTATTCTCCTGCTTAAAACTTGTTAGTAGCTTGTCACTGACCGTAGGAAAAAGCAGAAGTGCCATATAATGGACTATATAGTTTTTCAAGGCCTGGCATTTGCCAGTGTCTCCACTTTCACCTCTTCTTACACTTTTGCCAGGCTCTCTATTGTCCCTTTATGGACATATCGTCTCTTGCCTCTGGGCCTTTGCCTGTCATTTTCTGTCTAGAACACTCTTCTCCCCAGTTCCCCTTTATCTGGCTCCTCCTTCAAGCCTCAGTTGAAACATCACCTCTTCAGGAAAAGTCTATCCTCCCTCCCCAAATCCCATTATGGGAGGTCCTGCATTCTCTGTTTCCACATTGCCATGTACCCTGTCAGAATACTCACATATTCATCACCCCATATTATTGTTGTTTGTCACTCTTGGAGCTAGTTAGATCTTGCTCACCAGTCTACCCTAGTACTTAAAGCTTAGAGTGCTTGGCACATAGCAGGCCCTCTATAGAGGAGTTATGTTAGAATATTGGCCTTTCTGTGTGCTCTGGGTGTGTGTGGGGGGGATACACACACACACAAACACACACACACACACACACATATTCCAGAATAGGGTTTCTCAACCTGTTCACTGTCATGTTGGGATGGATAATTCTGTGTTTGGGATGGATAAATTCTGTGTTATGTTCTTTTCATTATAGGATGTTTAGTACCAACCTTATCTCTACCCACTAGACATCTGTGGCAACCAAAAATATCTCCAGACATAGCTGAATGTGCCCTGAGGGACAAAAATGCCCCTGGTTGAGAACCACTGTTTTTGGCTAATGCCAAAAATAGGAGACCTTTAATGGTATGAGTTCTTTAAGACTTCAGGTTTAGTAATAGATTTTCTTGGTCCTTTTACGTGGAGAAGGCCTTTAAATGTCCAGGCTTCTTCCCTTTGCCATCTTGGCTCTTACCACATAATTACTATGTCCTTGCCACATAATTTAAAGCATTCAATTCCCATGCTGAGAAACACTCAGAATATTTTAAAAATGCATACAGCACAATTATTTTGCTCGTAAAATGTGGTTACTATGTGATAGGCATTGATAAAACCTTTTCATCTACTGGATGACACACAATTCTAAGAGAGAGAATGAGAATTGTACCTATTTTTTGCTGTATTATAGGCAGTAAAATTTTTATCACCAGAAACTTCAAGCATGGTGAGAATGAGGATGATGCTTAAGAAATGTGAAATGAGAAACCACCCCATGATTAAATTACCTTAAAATTTTCTTCTGTTAGACCTTCATTTGTTTTGGAATTTCTTATCATAGCAGCCACATATCTTTTCTCTAAATTCCTGATAACTTCCTGGAATTAAAAAAAAATGAAGAAGCATTCAATTTTCTTTTCAGGCTCTCAGTAAAATAAGAAGCCTCCATAGGAAATGAAACCTGCTTCCACCATCTTTGAAATAGAAAATCCTAACAGGATTCAGCTATTTTCTGCAAAAAATTCAAATAAGTTAAATCTATTAGCTAAATAAATTATGGCATGTCCAAATTTTGTGGCAGAATGGGCAAGCAAAATCAAATTTACCCTAAAGGAAAATTTTTTTCCCAACCATAAGGTAAACATATTCACATTTATAGAATAATGAGAGTTGAATAAACTTCAAGTGGTCATAGTCAATATCCTTTCCCTTAAGGCTGGATTAAACTTAAATATTCCTTGTAGAATGAGTTTTTTCCTCCTTTTATAGTGTTGGAAGAGTCATTCTTCAGAGTCCCTAGTCTAGTGTGCTGATTTCCATGTCTGCTAGTAAATTAATTAAGATACTTCTCAGAGTCTATCTACACTTTCTTACAGGGATATCCTCTTTTAACTTAGCCTCCAGGGGAATAGCACACACACAGTCACTATAATTTATATTAGTGATGGTGATGATGGTAGCTACTATTTATGACAATGTGTCAGACACTGTCCAGGCAACACACCATGTATACCCATGCATGCATGGATTTTCAAAAAGTTCATGGAAAAATGCATGTTACAAAAAACTAGGCACAGAATTCAAAGTTCTTTTGCATCAAAATAAACTCATGCTTTGGGGACAGCAGGTGGCATGATGGTTAAGGCGCTGATCTAAACATGGCTGATCATGGTTTAAGTCCCGGACCTAGCAGCTTGAAAGTCATGCTGAGAGCATGTGTATTTGTTCCCCAAATCCAAAGAGAATGGAGTAGAAGGGATTGCACTACAGCCATCCTCCCTGGGTGGGTGGGTGATATCTCACTTTTTCTCTCTTCAGGTAGTGCATATGCTCTATAGCCAAAACCTAAACAAAAATAAAATAATGCTTTAATTCCCCCTTCCATGAACTTTTGAAGTATCCTTGTATATTCATATCACTCAATTTTCACAACACCATAAGTTACCATTTGTTAGTATCTGTATTTCACAAATGAAGAAGCTGAAGCTCAGTGTGGTTAACTGATTCATCTAAGTCCACAGAACTAGTATTAGAATGTTAGAATTCAATTCTCTTCAGTCTGGATTTCAGGGGCTATGATAATAACCAAGGCTATATCTATTACTTCGGTTACCATGTGAACTTAAAGTAGTTACTGAGATGCCCAGGAACCATTTCATGTGTGTGTGAGAACTATGAAGTACAAAAAGAAGGCAGTAAATCATGCCTATAATTCGTTATTATAAAAATAATAAGCATTAAAGGTGGGAGTAATGAGGAAAGAGTTACCTCTCAAATACTTTATTTTCTGTTACTTTTTATTACTTTTGACCTAAGTGAAACAAAGTTAGGAGAAGTGACCTGTAGAATAAGGATGAATTTCCTACAAGCCTGGAAGAACTTTTTTCTACTTTGGGTTTCTATTGATCAGGACAGTAAGAGATAGATTTCTATTATTCGTGATTTGCAAGGATTACTCTCAAAAGATGTTTCCAATATTTGGATACTTGGTTGTTTTCTGGCTGGTGGGAAGAATGGCCCTAATGTTTATTAAGTTAATTATATTTTTAAAAAGAATTACTATTTAATTTTATTTATCCTTATCATTATTTTTAAAAAATTTGCTAAAAGGCACATGTGCTCACCAGAGAGCGATGGAGAGAGAGAGAGAGAGAGAGAGAGAGAGAGAGGCAAGAGGAAAAGTGAGAAAACAAGCTGCCAGGTCAGGTATTTGAACTGCGGTTGGCCATGTGGGAGTCCAGTGCCTCAACCACCATGTGACCCTGCTGACCTCAGTTAATTACATTTTTAAAATACTGAAGTGCTTATCTATTTCTTTGTTTAAAGTCATGTTGTAATTTAGAAAGACCTAAGATCTTAACATTCAGATAAACTTTAATTTTATTGAAGTTAGTTTCCAATGTTACATATTACATACTTGCATATTTCTTATATATGCTATTACTCTATGCACTTTTTCTTCCCCACAGGTTTTATCCTTTTAATCACTTAATTTTTATTTTATTTATTTATTTTTAATTTGGAGAGAGAGAGAGAAGAAAAGTGAGAAAGCAAGCAGCCAGGTCTGGGACGCAAACCGTGTTCAGCCTTGTGGGAGTTCAGTGCCCGTAACCACCAAGCCACCTGCTGGCCCCATTAATCACTTAATTTTAATGGTTGTAATTATTTATTTAATGCCTTTAATCTCTGCTAGCTGATAAATTTTATATGGGGAGAAAGACAGTATCTTTCTTATTCACAGTGATTTCTCTAATGTGTAGCTTAATGACTAGAGCTAATATTCAAATATTTGTTGACTGTCTGATGAACCACATAGTCTATTTTACTTAACCTCAAGGAAGATAGCTTTCTTTTTTTTTTCAGAGAGATATTTTTGCTATAGGGCACGTGTGCTTACTGGAGAGACAAATAAATCACCCCCCGCAGGGGGGATGGCCATGCCACCATCCCTTTTCCTCCATTCTCATTTGGGAATTTTGGGCATGCATGCACACACATGCGCCTGCTGTAAGTTTTAAGCTTCCTGGTCTGGGACTCGAACTGCAGTTGACTATGTGGGAGTCCAGTGACATAACTACTGTGTCATCCACTGGTCCCCAGGAAGATACCTTTCTAAGTCATGGATGTTGCTGATCAAGCTGAGGCAGTGTTCAAGGGCTATGAACAAGATTATAAAACAGGAACTACTTCAGTCTTCAGTGAATTAGTGTTTCCAAGCCTCCTACCCCAGTCTGATGGGATCATGTCCAGACATAGGCAGAGTGAACTTTGCTTCTACTCCACACAACTGGCCAAAAACTATTATACTTATTCCCTATGAGGAAACTTTACCTGGTAATGTTGATTCTGTATCAGACTGTCTGCATGCCGTTCCTATAATTTAAAATGGACAGAACATTTATATTAGCAGTCTACTACTATCCTACTCACCCACCCACCCATCTGAATATAGTCCTAAATTTTAGAACTAAAAAATGACACAGGAGTTCCTGCCTCACAAACCCCCAAAGTGTATATAGGTTAAAGTGATTTTATGATGTCATTCTGAACATCATAATAGGGAACATCACAAAGGAGGGAAGGGAGGAAACGGTTTTGTTTAAAAAGAAACAGTTTTTCAAAGTCTTACTGTGAAGCTTCTCAAGTTGTGTCTTCTCCGTCTACCATCAGGGTCTCTTTTTGGGCAGAAGGTATTGTTGAACCAGTTACCAAGATATAGAAATGACTTGGGGCTGGGGATTATGTTGAAAGGTGGTGGCAAGGTGCCACCTTCATCAAAGTAACTCATCCAGAGCTTTGTCCTTGCAAATTTCCACTCAATATCAGCATGATCCTGTGAAAGACAGAAATTCAAGATTTGGGATGGGGAACTACAAAATGTACTTTCATTCTATACTTTCTACTTGATTCTATAAAAGACAATCTGTCATTAGTTGTGTAGATTTAAGTTACATACCCTGTGACCCTGTAATCCCACTTTTAGAAATACATTATTGAAATACTTGACAAAAAATTCATGTAAAAGGCCATTCACTGTAGCATGGCTAGTAATAGCAGAACAACTGGCAACAACCTAAATATCCAACAGTAGGATACTGGTTAAATAAATCTACAATATGGTTTACAATATAATTATTAAAATGTATGACATCTATAAACATATATATATATGTATATATATATATGTGTATGTGTGTTTGTGTGCATATATTTTTTTTAAGACTTCTGAGTGAAGAAAAAAGTTTAAACAGTGTAAATCACAATGTATTGTATATGTTGATCCCATTTATGCAACTGGAAAATCTCTTGTTTTATATGCATATATGTTCTAAATAAGTACACACTAAACTTTCAGTAGTAGCTATTTTTTTTAAAGGTGTGTATTTTTTTATTATTATTTTTTATTATCATCATAATCTTCTGTATATTACATTGGATTACATATAACTTTACAGTGTATTACATTTCTTTTTCAAAAAGGGAATGCCATGCATGTCAGTCAGTACAAAGACATTAATCTCCCCACTTCAACATTCGATATCTTTTCTATGTTTTCCCCAATCATTATTATTATTATTATAATTATTTTTTAAAACAGTCAATCACTTCTTCTCATTTTGCTTGTAAAAATACTTTGCCCATCATGAAATACTTCTCAGACCAATCCAGTTGGGAATACTATACATGTCATCATCAACAGGTAATAAGCCATATCTGTTTCTCACTAACGTCCTGCCTCTCTATTGTTCTCTTGGTATCTTTCTCTATCCTCTTCTCTTCACTTACCCCATTCCACACTGTCCTCTTCTCATTAAGTACCTTCACTGCTTTTATGTCCTCCAATTTTTTGCTCTCTATCATATTTAAAGAAATATAAAACTATTTATTGACCACTGTTCACCAGTATTTACAATAAAGTAAACAATATACAGTTGGGTAACATTCTGATTACTACAGAGTTATTGGTTTTCCTTGCTTCTGTTGAATCAGTAACCCAAATATTGAAAAGATTTGAGGCTTATATGTAAGGAATGAATTGGAGTTAAGAAAAGAAACATGCACAATAGTTTAGATTACAAATTTGTTCACTCATTTATGCCAGCAAGTCCTAAACTGCTAACATCTTTAACCACCTGATTAGGTTTCCATGAGCCAAATCTTAGACATTTCATGAATAATGACTTTTTAGTCAATAGAGCATAAGGATTTCAACCCTTTGTAATCTAAA